CGGCGGGATTTATAGGGGGAGGGCGAGGCAATGGCGTGGGCGAGGGGCAAGGAGGAGGCCGGGGCGACCACGGCGGCCATGGCGGTGCGGCGGCGTGCCTGAGCGGGACTCCCGCTCGGGAAGGAGAGGAGCGGCGCGCTGGGCTGGGCTTGGCCTGTTGGGCCGGCCCAGTTCGGCGGGAAGTTTCTTTTTTTAATAAACATATTTTTTCAAAGAACTAAAATAATAAAAACAAAAAAATAACTAAAATATTATATATGTATATTATATATCAAAATTTGCAGAAAAAGATTTTCTACACGGTGAACGTTTTTCTTGTATTTAATAAAATACACATAAATGCTAATAATTCAAACAATGCTACTGGTCTATTAAAATCCAACAAAAATCATTTTAAAAAAACAAAATGATTTCAAATTAATTTTTCTCCAATTTTCTATTGTAGGGAATCATGTTACCCTATTTTCCATGTATTTTACTTTTGGAGAAAAATAATTTGAATAAAACTCAAATAACTCCAAATTGAAAATAAATTCAAAAGACTTTGAATTTGATCCTTTGAAACTCCCCACTCATATTTCATATAATTTGAAGAAGTCATTTTATCTTCGCTCGTGAAAATCATTGAGTTGCATAAAGTTTCAGAATTGGAAATATTCTCAAATGAAATTCAAATATTTTCAACACCCCTTGTCTTTTAAATAAATGGAAGAAGTCATGTCATCTTCTCTCCAGGGTTTCGTGGTGAAAAGAATTTGAATTCACAGAGAACACGAATGAAAAGTAAAAGTTTGGGAAAGTCCTTTTATTCCCTCTCATTTAACTTTCAAAAAGTTCGAATTCACTCACTTTCAGTCAATCAATCAAACAATCAATCAAGTCTATCTATTTAATATAACATTCCAAAATTTAGAATTTTGGGATGTTACAAACCTACCACCCTTAAAATGAATCTCGTCCCCGAGATTCGGAGAGGCTAGCAAGAAAAGGTTAGGGTTTGGGGGTCTCCTCAAAATCCATCGATCATCACAGGGGTCTGGGGTGCTACCACCCTTAGAATGATGGGTACTGTTCCATCAAAACTCATATACTCCATCCTTATTCTTGACAGTGTCGGTCTTCTCAGATCCTCGAGAAAATTCCTCCTTTGAGCTCTTTCGGTAACAGCATAACCTTTTCCTCAATTCTTTTGTCCTTTCATCTTGGTAAGGTTATTCCGAGACTGGGTCTTCTCACCTGACGGGTCTGGCGCCAGTACTAAACAACTAATCGATATCTCATGGTGGTCAACAATTTATGGTTTCTCCTGCAGAAAATGGGTCTGGGTTGATCCTCACCGTATAACCTACGGTTGGCAACAACTGCCTTGTACAAGGGAAAAATTGCTATACCATTCTAAGTTTTAAGCAAGGTTTTGATCGTTGGCGCTCTACTATAGGTAAGTCACTCAGATTTACCATCCCACATAGCAGGGCGAATAATAAGAGTAAGTCGGTATGGTGATCAATCCATCCCGCACCCAAATCATTACCTTGTATACAGTTTAGCGAATCTCGCATTCTAACACTCGTTCATCCTCACAAGCATTGCAGAATTTCTCTTGTCGACGAACCAAGTTCGGATAAATCCATAGATTCTACAAGCCAAACAACCATCTATCGTTCCTTCACAACTCTCAGGTTTTGCGTTACTTCTATAAGGTCATCTATCGATAAGGGCATATCCTCTTCCAGGGTTTTTCCTTCAGCAAGAATGTGCTTGCTTCTTGGCAGCTCATGGGGCCTGTGGATTATGGCCCATCTCATCACTTGTAGTCGTTGAACTTATCATCGGGCAACTGATCATTGTTCCAACTTCCTAGTATTCTTAAATCCATCCAATTGTACTATCTTCCTTCCTTCTATTGGCACCAAACCAAGACGTGAGTACTCAGACTTGTCATGGGGTTGCCATTGCTCCATATTACCAACATCATACCTCCTTTATATCCAATAGTACTTCATCTCTTCATCCTCGTGGGATATCCCTCATATCGAGATAAAAACTTATACTTATGAAGTCCATATTCCACTTCGTGGAACATCATTATCCTTTCCAGGGTCAAGCGTGCTTACAGGGGAATATTGGCCATCTCTGCATGGCACTTCTTCAAATGGGAAACGTGAAACACATCATGAACTCCTGACAGTCCTTCGGGTGACTCCAACTTGTTGGCCACTTCTCCCATACGCTCCAAAACTCGGTATGGTCCTACAAATCTCGGGGCTAACTTTCCCTTAACTCCAATTCGTTTAACTCCTCGCAGAGGGGACACACGAAGACATGCTCTATCTCCAATTTCATAGACTACCTCCTTGCGTTTTTTAGCCTGCATAACTCTTCTGCCTGGACTGAGCTACCTCCAGTCTATCTCGAATAAACTTAACATTCTCTTCTGACTCCTTGATCACATTTGGTCCAAACAACTGACGGTCTCCAACTTTATCCTACATAATCTTGGGGCATCACACATATCGAGACAAAACTCGTATTCATTTTATCCGAAATCCACTCAGTGGAGTATCCTTATTTTTTCCAGGGGTCAAGGGTTCTTACAGGGTACTACCACCCTTAAAATGCACAAATCTTCCATAGACCATATTTCTCTTATCCTCAAAATGGTCAAAATCCTTCTTCATAGAGTAACAACTCATAAAATCCATATCAGTACCAACGATGCTACTTTATTCATTCTCAAATGATTACAATCGCTCGCTTCTCCATTACATGTCTCAACTCAACACCTCAATATAGAAGAAAAATGTTCTCACTTCTACTACTCCATTTCTTTTGTTGCAAACTCAACTATCTAGCACAAGTTTCCTTCTCCTTAGGGCATTCTCTGGCAAAGTGCCCTGCTCCATTACAACTAAAACATATTACTTCTGACAAGTCTCGAGGTTTCCTTTTTGGGCAACTGTTGAGGTAGTGCCCTGACTCCTTGCACCTGTAACAGGTGATATGACTCAGATCCTTCCTGGAATCCAACCTGCTTCTCTTCCTGGACTTTTCCATTCCAATCAGGGCTTCTATCTCCTGTGGGTCATATTCTACTTCCTCTGTCGGGAATTCTACTAAATCCCCATTCAAACAATTTTGGGAGATGTGTGCTTCTTCTCCACATGACTAGCAAGACTTAGTGTAGGGTTTTCTTGGGTCTTCTTTAGATGTGTCCCCCATATCTTCCTTCATCACAGTTTCTTCTAAAATTTCCATGAGGGCTCCTTTCGTTACTTCTTTCTTCTGCTGGATGGTTCGTTGTACCATGGGGTAAATGTGACTCTGGAGCAGGATAGTGGGTAGTCCCTTCACACAAGAAACAAGTAATCTGCCTAGTTGGGCATTCTTCAACTGGGTGACTTCCTTCGCAATTAGGGCATTCATCCTTGTGTTCTTTATGGGTGTGTCCTATTTCTCCACAAATCTTGCATGCACAAGGTTTCTTCATACCCTTCCCATAAGGCTTCAACTTCTGGGACACAAGTTGAGATCTCTGCAGAGTCAACTTTAATTCTTTCCAAGTGGTTACTCCTTGCCATCCGTTGATGGTTTGGTATATCCTCCACCAAGTAGCAGCACCTCTTTCAAATCACTGAAGAGCATGCTGGGTCATATCCTTTCCGACTATAGGGTTATTCTTCATGTGATCCTCCATGTTCTAAATCCATTGGTCCGTCTCCAATTGACTCATCGGTCCAGAAAATATAAGCTCATCTTCATTCATCCTCTATAGGGTCCAAGGGTTTGGGGTAAGATAGGAGAGAGGGAGAGGGATACACACAATGCAAACAAAAGTTTTGAAAAGACAGATTTTATTGTGGCTGTCGAAAAACATCAAACAAATGACAGCTCACAATCATCGCATCTAACGTAGGTATATAACAGGGGTTTGGTCTTCTAAAGGTCAATAAATCATCAACTCTTCAAACTCTTCAAGCCTTGTTCATGCCTCCAATGGCTTCTTCCGATCATGCTTGCCTTTCTCAAGTTCTTTTGCCAGATCAACTCTGTTGATGCGAAGTCTCTCGTGACGTCCTTTAATATTCTGGAGTTGCATTCCAAACTTCTGGGTTTCATCAAACTCGACCTGAACCATGATCCTGCTGTCCTTCAATTCTTAACGAATATCCGGTATCTCAAGGTTGTAGCTCCTCCAGCATGGCTACTTTCAGCCTTTGGTTCCTGAGTTCTTAATGAAATGCTTCCTTGTCTAATACGGCTTCATGGAGCTCCACCTTAAACTTCTTGATGTAACACTCCAGATCCTGGTGATACACTAGCTAAGGTTAAAACTTCACCTCTTGTTGATAGATGCTCCATCAGCCTTTTACCATCCAATCCTTCCATGCATATGCATGCTTAACTCAGCACGGTGACAATACCATAAGTGGGCGATAACATCATGGATAGCTGTGTTTCTGCTCTTGTCATTTCCATGAGCTATCTCTCCATAATTGATATCTCCTGCCTTAGGGTATTCTTGACAAAACTTTGAGGTTTTTAACTCTCCATGCTTAGTCTTTCTCTGATACACCTTGATCTCGGGTATTGATAACTTCCATAATCTGTCAAGTTCCATAAGGGTAGCCTTCCTAGGTCATACAAATCTAGGGATTCTTCAGAGCCTTCAAATTCTCCTAGTCTTTAGAGTCTTCAACCATTGTAGTTTCCATTATTCAGATGCACGGAAAATACTCTTCATTCCGAAGTGGTATTAGTTGTCCGATATGTTGTACTTCTTGGAGTGGTCTCATTAGTCGAATCTTTGTGTGGTCAAAAGGGGAAAAGGATATGGTCTCACTAAAGGGAATTTTGGATAAGCTCAGAAGAGAAGAGAGGTAAAAGATCTTTTCAAAAGGGAAAATTGTAGAGAAAATCTTTGCTATGGGCTTGCCAGTTTCTAGGGTCACGTCCTACAGTCAACATGTGCTCTGATACCATCTAGTAGCGACCCGACCCGAATGGATCAAGTCTCTGTGCTTAAGTGTCATCCCTGGATCGGTATGCTGACACACACAATACTCGAGGATTTATAACAGAGGTAAATCACATGTATAAAGTAACATAAATACTATTACCTCAATCCAAAATAGCGGAAGTAAACGGGTTGTGGATTCCCATCAACACCAACGGCAAAGTTGAGTGTAGAAATCGTAACCCTAACGTATCACTTACTCGTCATAAGATATCCTGCAACATGAGACGTTGAAGCCACAGAGGGTCAGTACATTGAATGTACTGGCAAATTCACACCATAGAGAATGATGAATAAAGGCTATCACTACATGCATATTTGGCTGGTGGAAAAGCTCTATGGTTATAAGGTTTTTGCGAAAAGCCAATTTTTCCCTACTACAAAGGAATAAATTTTATTTAACTATCATGGTGGTTGTTCAACATTAAGAATGGTTGACAGCATTCTCAATCCTAATTAAATAACATCATTAAACCCAACAAACTTAATTTAAAGTAACGTGATGAGATCAACAGGATAATCCAAGTACCAGAGACTCAATATGTCCATAACCGGGGACACGGCTAATCATGATTAGTTTATACACTCTGCAGAGGTTTGCGCACTTTTCCCCACAAGACTCGATCTTCTCCATTGGATTTCTCGCACTACATGGTGTTTGAGAAACGGATGACCGAGACATAGTCTTTCAGAAGCGTTTTCACCTTACGATGGGTAGACCGTACCACCTACAACCCCTACATCTGCTAGTCTACCACTTTAAGAGTTCACACACCTTAATCAACTATGCTAGAGCCCATAATAGCTTGTGGCTGCACACGGAAGTTTCTAGTATGAATAATCTCATGATCCCTTTGAGCCTGGGTGGCGGGCCGTAGGATGATCACACAGTATATCCCCGGGATCTCCTAGGACAACACTAGTATTTCCCCAGGTGTCCGGGCAAGTCCACTGGTATATCCCCAGGTTGCCCCTAGCAATCCACCCAGATGTGTATTAAAGTTGCCACTTTAAGTTGAACCATTAATTAACAATCTCACATCTGTCATGAAATACTCTCAAACCCAATCCACGTCTATGAGCATAGCATGGCAATGTAAGCATAACGTAATAGTAACTCCCAAGGTTTGAATGCAGGGCAATAGGTTCCTACCTCATCAACTACTTCCCAATACCCACATGTTATCAATCCTACTCATGCAATGTTTGAGGGTGAAACTAATGCATAAAAATTGGGTATAAAAGGGGATATGATCAAAGTGTGAACTTGCCTGCAATGTTGATGAAGATGATTTGCACTCAAAACTCTTGATAGATCTACTCGTCACACTTCGGTCAATCTATCGTAATCAAGCAATAGTAACCACACATAAGCAATCACTCAAAAGATCAGAAAGGGCGAAGAGGGAGATTCGGAAAACTTCAAAACCAAACGAATAAATCTTGCAGCATAAAACAATTTCTAACAGTACCAAAATTATGTGAATTTGCCCTTATTAGAATGTTTAGGTCAAGAGCTTCGATTTGCAAAAAGAATCAACTGAAACGGAGCTACGAAACTCAAGTTATGATCAAATGAAGTTTGAATTCAAATCTGATCTAATTTAAATTTTTAACTTTTCAAAAACATGTTTGAGTTGGATTAATGGATAGAGGAGATCCTAACGAAGACATGAGCATTGGTTTCGTTGGATTTGGACTAACGAGTAAAAAGTTGTAGAGGTTTGAAGCAGAGGGACTAATCTGTAAAAGAAATACTACAAAGAGGTCCCTGTCTAAAACTAACAGAAAAAGAAAAAACTAAAAAGTGAATGTTCGCTAACTAGTTCTCAAACAGAGAACGTTCTCTAAATAGATCTAACTAAAAAAACTAAACTGTTTTTTTAAACGAAAACCGAACCCTAAAATAAACTGGCTAAACCGAGGAAAACCGGATCGGTTTTGTGCGGGTTTTACCGGTTCGCCAAATAAAACCGGCGGCGGCGACGAACGGACTCCGGCGAGGCGGCGTGGCTCCGGCGAGGTGCGGGCGACGGCGGCTGCCCGGGGCGACGCGGGGCGGCGCTAGGCAACGGTGCGGCGGCGAGCAGCGAGGCGGGGCGGCGGACTAGGCGGCGGGGTGGCTCGCGTGCGGCGGCG